GTAACCGATTACTTCACCAAATGGATCGAAGCTGAGCCCTTGAGCCGTATTCGGGATGTGGAGGCAAAGAAGTTCGTGTGGCAGAACGTCATCGCCCCATTTGGAATCTCTAGGGCTATTGTTTCTGACAATGGGACTCAACTCAACAGTGGCTCATTTAGAGCATTCTACTTGGGGTACGGAATATGTAATTACTATTCTACGTCAGTCGAGGACCTCGACGAGAGAAACCCTATACACCTTGACATATGGGGTCGTAGCTGTCATCCCCTTGGAGGTGAGACTCCCAACAATACAGAGTCGAGCCTTCGAATTGGGTAACAATGATCAAACTTTGGCTAGGGATCTCGATTTAGTAGAGAAAAGGAGGTCATCAGCATCCTTCAGGCTGGCGAGGTACCAAGGGGAATTGTCACAGCAGCACCGAAAAAAGGTTCGAACGAGAGATTTTCAAGTCGGAGAATTGGTACTACAAAAAGTGTTGAGCAATATGCGCGAGCCTACTGATGGAAAACTGAGTCCCAATTGGGAGGGCCCTTATAAGGTGATCTTTGTGGGGGGCACAAACGCGTATCGATTGCAAAATATGAACGGTGACAATGTAATTCGGCTATGGAATATATCGAATTTAAAGAAATACTTCTACTAAATCAGGTTTTAGTCTTCATGGTTGCATTAACATGAGCTAGACGCTCGGTCGTTAGGGGTACAGTCTTGAGAGGTGTAAGACTCCACCCATTGAGCAACGCCTTTAAAATACTAACAAAAGTCAGACGCTCGGTCGTTAGGGGTACGGCTCCGAGGGGTGTAAGACTCCACCCTCGGAGCAACGCCTTCAAAATATTAACACAAGCCAAGCGCTTGGTCGTTAGGGGTGTAAGACTCCACCCATGGAGCAATGCCTTCAAAATATTAATATGAGCCAAGCACTCGGTCGTTAGGAGTACGACCCCAAGAGGTGTAAGACTCCACCCATGGAGCAACGCCTTCAAAATACTAAAACACAAGTCAGGCGCTCGATCGTAAGGGGTACTGCCCCGAGGAGTGTAAGACTCTACCCTTGGAACAACGTCTTCAAAATATTAACGAGCTAGGTGCTCGGTCGTTAGGGGTATTATCCCGAGGGGTGTAAGACTCCACCCCCATATATATTCGATCCCGAGGGGTCCAAAGACCCAACAACAAGTTCGACGCATTTACTTTTATGAATTCAACGTGAAGCCTTGCTACTTCAGAAGGTCCTTATTGACATAACGTCTAGGTCATTTCCTTGAAACACGATTAACGTAGGACAGAAAAACACTTGTAGAAAAATGAAGTTCATTGCAAATCAAAAAGGGGTTTTGCGTCCCCAAGCATACAAATAGTAGCTAAATTTTGTACAAAGAAGAGCTACGAAACAAATACGGGACATAAAAGTGACTAAGGCCATTAGCTGCTAAGGCCCTCTGCTCATTCTTCCATGGCTCCTCCCCCGTCAAGGCCTCCATGTTACCTTTGTAGCTCGTCTCCGACCCACAATATCTCATCTAGCTCCGTATCATACACCCCAATAATGATTGGGGGGCAGAGGGGGAAGATCCTCTGTTGGCTCGGCAGGTGGCAAAGACGGTAGGGCAGGAGAAGGCTGGTCAGAACCGTCGCTGAGTGTGATGGGTTCCTTCCTACCTTCAGCCCCCGATCGACCCTTCTGCTTCCACGTGGTCACCTAGGTCGGATCGGACCTATTCGACCAAGGCTTTGTCATTGGCCTCCCTTCGAAGGCTGTGCATGACGAACAAGTTCGAGCCTACCTCGAAGTGGCAGGCATGAAGGGCGGTGTCCCAATCTTCTTTGAAAGCCTTCTTCTTGGTTTCCTCGAAAGTAAGGACCCTTTGGTCTTGAGTGGCCGTTCACACCCTCTGACATTCCGATTGCAGCCTTTCCTGCTCCCCCACTTTCTCTGCTGTCAAGGAGTCCACTTTGGCAGTAAGAGTATTGATTACAGACTCAAACTCTTGTAGCTTGGCTTCGGAGGAGGACACTTGCAGCTCGTACTCCTCGGCCTTCTTTATCATCGCAGCTTCACCTGTCTTGGTATTTTTCAGCTCGGCATGAACGGCATCTCGGTGGTGAATGAGCTCGGCGATGTGCTTGGCTTGGTCGCCGAGGGTCCTCTCAACCTTAAGGATGTGGTTATCCTTAGTAGCTGCGGCTCACTCAGCATTCTTCGTCTCTTATTTAAACTCCCAAATATATTCAATTATGGCCCCCACTTGTTGGCTAGCCTGAAAAAGGAGGAATATTAAGGAACGACCAAAAAGGTGTGGGAAATATTCGAAAAAGTGTTAAACTTACCACCAGGTTATTTTGGATAGTGCTCATCAGAAGCCGACCCCGCGACGGCAAACGCCACTTCGGGGGACTGGAGGATAAATTCGGCTTCTAGAACAAAGCGGCCGCTCCTGGTCTTGGCTCGAGGAACTCATTCGCTCGAGACAGATGGGCCCAGGCCCGGGGCGTCATGCCACCGCTTCACACGGCGCTCCTCAGATTGTTCGGCGTTCCGGGCACGCCTGTCCCTCAGTCTGTCTCCCAAACCATTGGAAGCCAGACGGGCTCTGTGTTCCTGGCCCGTACACCTGCTCCCTCACCCTGAGATCGAGTGTTCACCATCAGACAATCACTACCGGGAAAAATGCCTTCGTTCCCACAGACGGCGCCAAATTGCACGGGATAATTCCTATAATAATATAAAACAACGATCTCCAAGCTGGCGAACCTAAAACAACAGGGTCAGAAAAAAGGAGGGCAAGTGAGCGCCTGACTAATCCCCTCTGAAGCTTAAGTCAGTATAAAGTCGAAGGGTTTTGCTCAATGAACTATTTTTCTGATTGAAGTTTGCGTTCCTTTGTCTGTTTTTCTAAGGAGTATTTATACCTGAATTAGCAATGATTGTCAAAGATCTCCAATCCCATCTAGACATCTTACTTCTGACACACCATTCCTCGTGCAATGAGTGTTTTCTACTCACGTCTTCTCCTATTGAATGCTAGAAAAATGGGGTAAATACTCGGCCAAATGCTGAGCATTTATGCCACTCCCCGAGTACCCAAATCCTCCAAATCAGCATCCGACATCAACTGAGCATTGAATACTCAGGCAGAACAGTTCCTCGGGGGAGCCGATCGCGTCGTCTCGGCGCGTCAGTCATTAATGCTTAGTCATCATGACAGTAGACTTAGACTCCCAGAGGGCAGGTGCTGGCAAGCGCGCATTTATTTGTCTTGTCACTATCGCGCATTTAAATGAGGGGTCACATCGCATTAAATATGATACCAGCTGTCGTACTCGGCTGCTCCGTGTCACCATATCTCGACTTACCTCTTCGACGCCCTTTGGACATTCCAACGGCTTCACTATTTCACGTGTCAACCCGGGGGATGTAGAGCCACCTAGAGTCCCGCCAGCCCCCACCAAGATATGAATCCATATTTTCGAGCGAGATGGAAATTTTTGAGTCTAGAACAAAAACTTTTGATGAGATCATTGAAGCCCTGAATGATGATCAGATCAACGTCATGGGAGTTTATAGGATGGGAGGCGTTGGGAAGACCATCCTCATCATAGAAGTTGCAAAGTTTGCTGAGAAACATCACCTCTTTGATGAGGTAGTGATGGCAGTGGTTTCCCAAACACCAAACACCAGCAAATTTCGAACTCAAATTACAAACAAATTGGATTTAAAATTAGATGTTGAAAGTGATTTGGTTAGGGCGGGTCGCTTATGCGAGAGAATAAAGAAAGTGGGAAAAATACTTATAATCCTAGATGATGTGTGGGAAGGACTTGATTTGGTGGCTGTAGGAATTTCGCACGGCAATGCTCATGAGGGTTGCAAAATTGTTTTGACTTCTCGAGATCAACATGTATGTACAAAGATGAAGGCCCAAAAAAAACTTCCCATTGACGTCTTATTGGAGACAGAGGCATGAACTTTAATCAACAAAACCGCAGGTTATGTTGAGTTACAAGATGTGCATCCAATAGCTATCGATATAGCTAAAGAGTGCGCAGGCTTGCCACTTGCAATTGTTACTGTTGCAACAGCTTTGGAGGGTAAGGATTGTTAGCAAAATAGGATTTCACCATATTAGAAGGTTTTAGAAGGTTTTGATCGTGTATTCACTATCCTTAAGGAAATTATGCTCTCATTATATTGCTGCTGGATTTATGACAAATTTCTCTAGGATTAACAAAGCTAAACAGAATTTCAGATAGTAAACTCTAAAATTCTCCCAAGAACATAATTTTTTTGTATATTCTTCAATTGAAAGATCTGTATAGGTATTTATAATACTTTAGTGAGAAGACACAACTCTTGGGCTAAAGAGATGTAAAGAGGAGACACACCTATTGGGCCAAAAGACATTTAACAATTAATTAATACAAAAATAATTAATTATTTAAAGGTTTCAAACCCGAGATGACCCAAGTGCTCAAGTGCCCATCTTTTGACTTTAAATATTATTTTATTTAAAGTCTAATCAAGGCTCATTGATTTGAAATATTTGAAACTTCCCTCCAAATCTTCTCACCATCCAAATTTATAAAATTTGTTGTGTTTCTCTTTTTAAACCCTTATATTCTCTTTCAACTTTTCCAATGTAAAATTCTTTACATTACTAACTATCTCTAACAAGAATTACGACGTGTGGAAAGCCGCACTTCTCCAATTAAAGAATTTTGAGCCAAGAACTATCTCAGGCATGCATGACAAAGTTTATTCGGCACTAGGGTTGAGTTATAATTTTTTGGAGGGTGCAGAACTCGAGTATTTTTTCTTATTGTGTTGCCTATTTCCAGAAGATTCTGACATCCGTGTCGAAGATTTGATGAGATATAGAATGGGCTTAAGGTTGTTTGGAAATAGGATTAATATTATAGATGCAAGAGGTAGGGTAAAGTCAATGGTTGATAATCTTAAAGCACGTTGTTTGTTATTCAATGACGTAAAGTCAATGGTTGATAATCTTAAAGTACGTTTGTTATGGAATAATGAAAACAGAGAGCGGAGGTGGATTAGGTATCCGGCTCCTTTGCTGTTCCTTTAAACGGCACCGTTTGGTGCCTTTTTTAATCACCTGCAAATAATACTAGCAAATAAGAATTGTAATTATCTGTGTATTAGTCAAAATTATAAGTTTTTCAAGTAATAGCTTTTCTAATGAAAAAAATGTGACACGTTTAAAATTTTTATATTATATGACAAAATGCAGAACTATGACAAAATATCGTATCATATTTTAACTTTTCAGCCAATAAAAATGTGAGATATGTAAAATATTTATATTTTATTTTTACAACACATATTTGAATTTATTAACATAAAAAAATTATATTTGAATCCGTTAAAATAAAAAAATTCAAATTTTATTTTAATGCTTGTACATGGAATGGAGTTTCAAGGACTTGGAGTGTTGCCTTATCGAGTTGAAACATCTTTCTGATTTAAGAATCTTAAAAATTGAAGTACCAGATATTAAGATGTGTCCTAAACATTTAGTGTTTGAGAATGAGTTGATTGAATATCAAATTCATATAGGCTCGTTGAAATATTTTTTTGGCCCATTTGCAGGGTCAAGGGTCTTGGAACTCGTGGGGGTGTCAAAGTATTGTTCAAGAATACAGTGGGGTCGATATGCTGTTAAAAAAAGCAGAAACATTGAACCTACTGGAATTGGAGGATGTGGAGACTGTTCTCAATGATATTAGAATAGATGGATTTTCAAATCTGAAGGCTTTGACAGTTGCTAGGTGTGGTGATAAGATTAAATATCTAGTTGATACCAAGGAGAGGATGCCACGTTGTGTTTTTCCTGCGGTGGAGAAACTATATCTATCAAGAATGCAAGACTTGAGACAGATATGCCATGGCCATCTCCTATCTACATCTGTTTTGTGAACTACGTGAGTTGACTCTATACAACTTACCTGAGTTAATAAATTTGTGGGAGGATCCCATCCCACTGGCCAACCACGGCTTTCTAGCCTAAGGAGGGTAATAGTATCAAGGTCAAGGTGTGACAAAATGGAATACCTCTTTCAGTTTCAGCAATATATAGCAGGAGATCTTGGGCTGGGCTGGGCAGCTCCAAATCCTAGAGATAGACAACTCCAAAAATATGGAAGCGATACTTGCAATCAATGCAGAAGGAGCAGCGGCACAAGAGGATGAAATTGTCTTACACAATTTGCAAAAGTTGACGCTTTACAATCTACCAAACCTCGTGAGTTTTTTTCGCCAAACAAATAGTTCGGCTTCAGAAAGCAGTCCTCATATCCGAGCACATGAACCTCTGTTGTTCGATGGAAGGGTATGTGACCATGAAATGTGTTACTAAAAAGTGTTTTTGTAGAATTGAAGTCAACAATATTTTTCTTCATTTCTCACAACTACTCATATGAGGAAATTTTTTTTATAAGTAATGTTTATTTCTTTATTTCTTATTTCCTCTGTTTGGGTCACTTGGTGGTTGTATGTCATTGTTCCTCAAGCCCACAAGATAACTGTAAAAATGCTAACAAGACAAATGAAAATTTTATTTTATTTTATTAAGATTGATGAATAATGTAATTTCGCACGCCGGTTGTATTTCCAGCATTGGAGAGATTGGATCTCCTTGAACTGCACGAAATGGAATAGATATGGCACCAACAATTGCTTCCCGCCGGGAACTTCAACAGATTGATTAGACTGTCAATAAGAAACTATGGAAAACTAATCACAATTTTTTCATCTAGTTTGGTACAATTGTTACAGAATTTGGTAGATTTATCTGTTTCATATTGTGTTTTGTTGGAGGACCTATGTGAAGGACATAATGCAACTTCAGTAACACTACCAAGGATAAAGAAATTTGAATTGTCGGATTTACCAAGCTTGAAGGATAAATGGTGGAACAAGGTCTGCCCTAAATCTCTTAACTTCCAGAATCTCTCAAATCTTATTATCGTAGGATGCAAATATTGGAGATATCTTCTCTCTTTTACCACATTGAAACTTCTTATTCAACTTCAATATCTTAAGTTAAAAGAATGCGACGTGATGAAAGAGATAATAGCAACCGAAAGTGGGTCGTTGACACAATTGTGTTCCCTAAATTAATTGGCCTTCACCTCTCTCAATTGCCAGAACTCACAAGCTTCTACCAAGGGAATTGTACTTTAGAGTTTCACTCTTTGCAAAATTTGGTGATTGAAAGATGTCCCAAGATGCAAACATTTGTTGGTTCGAGCACAAAAATGTCAAAAGAAGCAAGTGAAGAAGGGTTGGAGGGACAAACAGATCAAGAAGGCAACTCTAGCGTTACCATACAACCATTTTTCAATGAAAAGGTGCATGCTCTCTCTCTCTCTCAAAACTACTTATGTATACAAAGGGAAAACCTGGGAGAAAAATTATCATATATCTATGTTGATTTATCAGTTCCATAGGATGATCAATTTTCAGGATAGCAAATGTCACATGTAACCAATACTAATTGTGGTCCCTAGCTGTGAAAAATACTCATTTCACTTTTTCTTACTTTCAGTAAATTCAAATTAAAGTAGTGAAAAATTGACTTGAACTTGATTGGACTCAAACTCGAAGCCAAATACTCTTTTTCATTTTTTTTTTATAGAAATTGAGATTGACGCATGCAAACAAAAAGATATGGCAATTGTTTTGTAAGTAATATCTAGTTATCTATTTATTATTTCTTTTGTTTGGGTCATTGTTTTGTTTTACTTCCTTGTTTCTCAAGCCCCACACGACTGTGAAAATGCCCACATGACTGGTGAAGAAAGTATGAATTGTTCAAGGTGGCAAAGTTCTTAATTACTATTGATGATTCTTCTGATCCCATGTATTAATCAAGCATAACGTAATTTCTAGTTCCTTTTCTTTCCTTGAAGTTTATAGTATTTGTCTAATTATGAACATTCATGTGTTAATATAACGTACATTGGCAGGTTGTACTTCACGCCCTGACGGATTTGAGTCTTCAGAGACTAGACAACCTGAAAAAGATATGGCAAAACGAACTTCCAGTAGATTGCTTTAATCAACTGAATGTTCTAACAGTGCGTGCATGTAACAATTTGTTAAAAGTTGTACCATCCAAATTACTCCCAATNATACGAACTTCCATTCCAGTAGATTGCTTTAATCAACTAAAGTTTCTATCTGTGCGTGAACGTAACAATTTGTTAGAAGTTGTACCATCCAAATTACTCCCAATGCTGCACAATTTGGGCAAGCTTGTTGTAAGAGAATGTGATTTAGTGGAAGAGATCCTGGAACAAGGAGAAGATTTTGGAGGAAAACTTGTGTTCCCTAATGTTCACACTCTTCAACTTGTACATCTACCAAACCTCAAGAGTTTCTACTTGGGAAATCAGACTTTGGAATGGCCATCCTTAACAAAAGTGATATTGGAGAACTGTCCCAAGAAGCAGACCTTCTCTTCAGGGCCCCTAATTACACCAAATCTACATATCTGTTTATAGGGTGGTTGGAAAGGTTCTGGAAAGGCGCCCTTTGACAGCACTGTCCAACGCGTTTTCAAAGAGGTATGAACTAATGTAGATACACTTTAGGTTCTCATCATTTCCATTATTTTCAAACCTTCAAATTTTGACTTGTAGACATCGTTGTTGCATTGCATCGCAATTACTTGTAGGGTTGAAGAATAGTATGTTGACCAGTAATGGAAATTAGCTTGATTCATAAAGGAGTTTAGTATCACTGCTTTGTCTTTCTCTTGGCTAACCGTTTAATAATGAAAATTAGCTTGATTGGGAAAGTAATGACGAACCACGTGCACAATAATGACCGCAATCAACACACGTGATTTTTCTGTTTCTTTTCAAAGTAGGAGGAAACCACTAGCACTAAAAAAATATAGGAAACATTCTTCAGGGTTGATTGTAAGTATGTCATTTGAGTGAAAATGATTCCTTCCGCCTTGTGATAATTTTTGCTCAACTATTAAAAATGAATCAGTTTCAAAAAAAAAAAAACAAGATTCATTTTTAGGAAATTACATAGTGCAAAAGGAAGAGGCTTAAGTAGCACAAAATTAGTTATTTCATGCTCATCTAATTTAGCACGTCCAATTCTCCATATATTTCATTATTGTGTAGAGCACAGTCTCATCGATGGAAACCCGAAAATCATAATATTAAACTAAAAAATTTAAATGATGAACCAATTGGAGTAGAAAGTTTAAACAATTGGCAAGATATAAATTTCAAATTGTAAGCCAAAAACTTTAAATTTAGAAACCCAACATAATATTAAGTAATAGAACCTTGATTGAAAACAAAAAAAATTCATGAAAGTGTAGCATTTAGGAGGAATAATCTAATCTCAATGAACATTATAAGCATAAACAAATGATGAAATTAAGATGATGGATGAAATGTCAGGATTGTGTGTTTATCTGAATTACAGATTCGCAAGATCCTGAAATCAAATTAATAGTTTGACTTTTGTGGAACTTGAAGCAAATATTCAATATGTATTTCAAGTGTTTCAAGCTTTATATGCAACCACTTAATTCCTCAAAAACTTCTCATAAATATTCGTCTTGATCATCAACGCTATTCAAGCACCTATATAGTCAAACCTTCAAGATAAAGTTGCTTGAGGAAAGTTAAAAAAAAAAGAACCCATCAATTACTTTGGAGAGTTCAGTGTAGATAACTTTCTCCTTTGCGTGAAATGGTGCACCAAAGTTCACAAATCTCATAAAATAAACTGTGGAGAAAGGGAGATAGATTATAATTTCTAATGGTGAAATGTGTTTTTGATAACTGATATTATGTAAGGAGACTTATGCGCTCATAACTTACTATGAGTGGTTGATATATTTTTTGGCATGTGATTGCATTTAGTAGAAAATCAAGCGAGACTTCTAGCACTGCCACATCACCACCACATTTGCAAAAAATGACTTGTAGTTTCTATTATGCATAAGACTACCTATGAATGTTGAACTTGCTAAGCAAAGACAAAGAAAAAAAAAAAAAAGTAATCAAAACATAGCAAGGTAAAAAGCCTCCTGTTGCAAATGGAAGATAGGTAGGAAAAGAGATGTAACCTACTACATGTTTATGATTCAATATTTTACTTTGATATGTACAATTGTTAAATCATATTTTTACAATAGGAAGTGGCCAAAAATTTAAAAGGAGGGGCAGATGAAAAATGGGATCTTCAATTTTAGCTCTTAGTCCACTTGTTAAAGATAGAAAACCCCTTATCAGAAGCTTTAGTTGTTTGTTTTGATGTCAGCAATAAGAATTTTACAACATCAAATTTTATTTTTTTTTTGTATAATATTAATGAGAGAGCGAGCGAGAGAGAGACAGAACTAGGAAGGTCATTAATGTTGTACATTTAAGAACATGACATGGTCATTAATTGAAAGTTGCATCTTTGTTGTAATGAACCTTTTCAAGCTAGTGTTATCCATCCTCAAGTTCTAAAAAACATATATTCAATGTTTAACTATATACTTGCTAACTGTTAGCCACTTGTTAGAAGGAAGTGAAGCTTGATTGTCGGGGGAATCAACGGGATGGAAAAAAGAAGGTAGATTATTCATTTCTATTTTCTCTTTAAACTTAGCCTTATACTTTGGTAGCAATGATAATGGATGTTCCTATGGATTCATATGAGAATATCAAGTGGTGGTGACATGTGTGAAATTAGTGTGGGGCATTTTATCAGAAATTCAAAAGATTCATATTTATTGAAAAACAAATTCAAGGGTCATCTATTTTACTTTCCCATTTGCAATTTTACAAAACATTCTTTTCAAATATCCATGAAATTTTGACCACAAAACTTTTCTTTTTTGACACCCCCATGACTTGCGTAACTTGAGTTATATTAATTTGTATGTGATCAAACCCAATTTAATTGATTTCAAGAAGGCTTACGACCATAAGGATTGAAATTTCTTGGACTTTGTTTTGTAGATGAAGGGGCATGGAGTGAGGTAGAGAAAATGGCTTAGAGGTTGTTTGAAGTCTATGAATTTTTCAATAATTCTAAACAGCAAACCAAGGGGTAGGTTGCAAAAACGCATAAAAAGAAAATCTATTTACTTTGGTGCATTGAATACCAAGAGTGACTATAATATAATAATAACAATAGACAGAGGGGATTAAAGTGTGATTAAAGAAATTCCTACATGTTGCCATAGATGTCCACTTATATAGAAATATTAAATTTTTTACACCTCAAGTGAAGAAATGATATGTTTGGATCGTGAGTTAAAGGAAGATAATTCGGGTGAGATAGGATAAAAAAATATGTAGGGCTCATATATCCCACATTTGGTAAGTAAAAAATAAATTGATAATTCTATTCAGATTTTATCACAACCCAATTTGAAAAGTCAACTTTAACTCATCTACCTCAGTTAAATGAAATCCAAGGGGTTAGAGATTTTTTTTGTCAGACTGTATAACTAATACAAATGACCGAATTGTCATGTTCTCTCTCTCGTTTACTTTGTCTCCTCCTTTTGTTTTTTTACAAATTTAATTTTTTTTTCAACAAATTTGTTTTATCAAAATAAGGCTCTGCCGACATACTTCAAGAAGACCAAGATGTCTTCTCTAAAAAGATACCTAATTTAAATAATAAACTAACTCCAATAATTAATTAATGATAGGATACAATCACTAAATCCTAACCAGTTCAATGCTAGATGGATTTGGGTTAGATAGAAAATAATATTTTTTTTGATTTTCAATTCAGGTCAACCTTGTTGAGGGAGAGAGAGAAGGAAGAAGGAGAAAAAATAAAGAAAAGGATTTGGATACCCCCAGTAATTACAAGAAATCTTATTTTTGACCCCTATATTCTTATAAACTTAATTTTGACCACCATTTAACTGGGTAATTTATAAATATGACCCCAATTGGTTTGAAACAAATTTTATAATTTTAAAACAACCATAGAGCCTTGAAAAGTTTCTAAAATTTTAAAATGACCCCAAAAAGTTTAAATTATGTTTTCTAAAATTATGGTTTAGCCAAAATAACTCAAAATCAAGGTTATATCAATCTCAAATTGCCTCTATAGCCTAAAATATTGTTCTGGAAATTTTATAGCAGCCCTAAAATAGAAATTCCTTTCGAGGGAATCACACTGAGCCAAAAAATTTTAAA